TCCCCGATGCACGTTTGCACATTCGTGAAACAGCAAAGACTGTTGCGTGGCCCTGCCAGAGTAATGAGAAAATCGTATAAAACTTCAAAATCAGACCAATTTCACTATTCAGGGTAGATAGGACTAATTTAAGAATAGTAAATAATAATAAATTAAAGCTCATGGTAGGTTCGATCATAAGTGACATCAATACGTCGGATATTTTAGTTTTTTTTTTTTATCGCGGACTCGGCGACTTATTATTTATATTCAAAACACCGAAGATCGTTTTAAGTTAAATGCAAAAAAAATACTATCAACGTAACCTGTTCATTCTCAGACGATTCCAATATGGATTGCCAATGTGGTGCTGGTCCCCAAACCATGAAACATTCGATACGAAAAGAAGAATTAGCTTGGCGATGTATGTAACATATTAATGAAAAGAAAATCGATTTTAAATTTAATATTAATAACAGCTGATTATTAATATTGTGATTTATTGATTGTGTTATTTCTAAAGTACCTCGATTTAATATTAGCGCGAAAATAGATAGTGATTATTTTTTATGAAATAATAGAGAGAACATAATAAAATAAATTTCAATAAATATGCAGATCAAACAAACAACGCGCACGTTACTTCATGGTTTCTAGTTCCTAGTTCCTAATTCGGGTTGTAGGCCATTCGCTAAGGAGTCAAAGTAATGACTGTGAAAATTCAATTTCTTTTTTAAAAGATTATAAAATTGATGTAATGTTGATTTAAACGTTCTAAACTTAATTTCGATCGAAATGTTTTCTCTCGCATAGTTTAGATATAAAACATGGATATTATAAGTTTGTGAAAGTACACCAATAATCAAATCTCGTAAATCAAGTAAGATAGCAGGGAATTGAAACTATGTGTCGAAAATATTGAGAGAGCAAATTCAGTACATTTTAAGGGTAATGTAGGTAGAAGCAAAGGTGGAAGGAGGTAAACATTTATTTATCCATATCTGTCTCCGGTCACGCGGCTACATTGGTACAGAGATATCAACTGCAATATTGCTACTGCATTCATCAAATATGCATATGATGCAAATTATTTTTTTTTACGGATTGTGAAAATGTGAAATTCATGTTACTGGATATAAGTGATAAGAAAAAATATTTTTTAAAGAATTTTTTAACAGTGTGTTTAGCTTAACTGAACAAAGAATGCGCATATCGCCTTTCTACACTTAGTTCGACACAGCACAGCCTTTCCATAAACGTGTCCGACAAAGCTTTATATATTCTACGGACTGAAAGCGCAAACCACTATCATAACACAGTAACACAGTCTTGGCAATATCGGCTAATTTAATTAAGGTATCATTAAAAATTCCAAAATACTCGTGTTCATGTACAAGAAAATGTATTATAAAATCAGAATTAACAAATAGTTTAATTTGTGGATAATTATACATCTTTATATATAAAATTAGGTTCCGTGAGGATTTTCCACAAAATTCTTAACTAGCTAACGCATTATTTTTTTCACAACAGTTTCAGCTAGTAGAAGTACAAATTAAGAGAAAAAAGGAAAGTTACGAAAAAAGCTGTTGTGTTTATTTCACCATTGTCAAATAACTGACTCGTCGCAAAAAATTAAAGGAGCTGATCAAAAGCAATTTGAAGCAAGCCCAATGCAAATAGTTACTGAGAATAATGCTAATAGTCACTGAGCAGTTTGCGTTGAGACTACTAAGGTATCCATTTTTCACAAACTTAATTGGTGAGCTTAGGTAGACAATTACTTATCCAGCTGCTTACACTCAGCAATCTAAACAACTTTTTTTTTTTAATTTCATATCTAAACATTTCAAACCTTTAACAGCCGCTTTCATGCTGCAACTACCCCGACAGAGTGAGACATTCGATTACAGAAACATCAATTACCATGCGCGATATCATAGCGATGTTATCTCTGAAGAAAATCTCCCGAGCGTATCATCGCCGGAAAGGCGGGTGGACGGGCTCCACCGGAAGCCACTTGTACTATCTTGTCGCCGATCTATCGATTAATTAGTGCGATCGGCGAAACAATGCGCGCAATGTCCTACTAGGTCGCGGATTTCGCTCACTCATCGAGGCAGCTGTCGCGCGCGGAAGAATGACAACCACCGACGGTCCAATTGCGCCGAAGGAAGCGTTTCGTAACGGCCAACGGGCTGGTTCCAGGTCCAAACTGCTTAAGGCCCAAGTCAAACGTTAATGATTGGCCAGATCGTAACTCTAGTTTAACGCCCGTTTTGTTTAGTGTAATATAAGGTAATGTTTAATTTATTAGGGATTAATCTTTATTTTAAACTAGCGCCCTCCCCAGCTTCGCATGGATGCACTGTTATATAAACCGTCCTATTGAATCACTCTATCGAATAAAAAAAACCGCATCAAGATCCGTTGCGTACCTAGTTTTAAAGATCTAAGCACGCATAGGGACAGACAGGCAGCGGGACGGCTTTGTTTTATACTATGTAGTGATAACATATTTTTTTCTTTGAAAGATCCTTCAAACATTGCAACGTTCAATAAATATAACGTCATTTATATTCCTTCACCTCCTTTATCACGTTAATGTTATTTATACATCAAAATATTGAGTATCATAAATAGCAAGGCATGACAGCTTGCACCGGAGCAGCCATAGCTGAGGTTTATCGACCACATCCTTTATGCTCTTGTTGATTCAGGATACAACTACACTTTTTTTAATGAAGTTAATGTTTAACCACAACCAAGCTAGATGCACGACAAGCATAAGGTAAATTAGTTAGATAAGACCGGAGACAGGTCGAATATCAGAAAATGGCTTCTCAACGCTATGCCGCATTGCCTGCGACAGTAAAAAATATATTTTAGCGCAAATTAAAAGGTTATCTTCTATTAAGGTTATATTCTTATAAAGTTTGACGAATTTTCTGTGTATTTAATAACTTCACACAATTCCTACTCTCCGGAATGCTGGTTAGGTAGTAATATAACATCAGTGTAATATCTATATAAGAATTATAACTTATAATCTAAACAATAGCTTTTAAAATTTAATAATTGCAGTTTATGTTGATTATTTTAGTTATTCACGTTTACTTTTTATATATTTTTTTAATATCTTATGTGTATAGTTTATTTTTATTATGTTCCGATCAGTTAATATTTATAACTTAAAACGGCCTAAACATTTTCTTTAATCACATAACAGACCTTGCTTTATTAATTTCCAAAAATGACTGACTAATAGTGTTATTTTAATATGTTTTAGCCATTTTATTGCACTATGATATACATTACATCATAGTGTAAACTAGCTAAAATTCAACTGTGGAGGAGCCACACACAACAGTCGCTGTTGCACGAATGGGCAGGTCTGCCCGGGGAAGTACCACGAACTCACGGAACACCGGCGTCAAGTGGACGTGGCTTCTGCGCTTTGTCTGGTGAGTGAAGTAACCGGGTCCCACTTTTTAAAGATTATTAACGCATCTGCAAGCCTTTGGCATTTGTTCACGTTCATTGGCGGCGGTATTCACTTAACATCAGGTGAACCGCCTGCTTAATTGAAAACTTTTCACATTAAAAAAGTGAAAAGCGGCTTGATGATTATCTCCTGAGCTGGCGAAGTAAACAACAATAGACAATTCCTTTCACGGAGCTTATTAAGTTTATCGTGACAGGTGATAATCTTGTCACCGGTTATTAAAATATATGGTTATTAAAAAAATAATAAATTTCGCGATTCTCGTCATTGAGATCCGAATCCGTGGCATCTGAAATCAACGTTCTATATATAATTTCCTCTGTTAGGCACATGTTTTTTAAAAATGTCTTGGTACTGATATAACAGGAAAAAAAACCCCAAGAAAGTGGCTACTCTCCATATTGTGTGAAATAATTTAGAATAACGTTTTTGACAAGTATGCTATATCCTCTATTGAATTCAATAAATATTTGTCATTTTTATTTCACTTAACATATGTCACTGCATAATGAAAGATAAAACTTTGCATTTATTAAACTACCTCTAAATCTCTCATGCATTGAAATAATAAACAAAAATAACCGATGTCCTTTTATGCCATTAAATTATCAGGTCATTGAGCCGGGTTTATAATGCACTGGAAATTTGTTTTAAGTTTCTTAGATAGAATACTTTTAAAGCGGCGGAATTTAAAAGGTATCCTAACCGATTCATTAGCATTCCGAAGAGTAGGAATTATGTGAAGTTATTAAATACACACAAAAATCGTCAAACTTTATAAGAATTTAACCTTAATTACGTTATAATTATATAGCATTGTGTTTCTATAGAAATCCTTCTTTACAAAGCAGTTTGTTTTTAAAGAAAATTTGAATCAAAAAGACTAAACAAAAAAGGAGAAAAACATGAAGATTAATGTCGTCACGTGAAATGAACGTGTTCATCAGTCATATTATCATTATTTCTTAATTCATAGAAAGATCTTTCGCTTCATCCACAATTTTAATTGAAGACGTTCTGTCTATGATCTGGATTGTATATTTGTTTCCAAATCGTTATAAAGCTTTTGATTTCTTTCATTGTCAATTTGTTTGAATTTTCTATGTTGTTGTAAATTAATTTGCTACATTTTAATATAAAATATATCAAATTACAAATATTGATGTAAGTGGCTAGTTTATTTTAAGTTTAAATAAAATGTAATAAAAATTAACAGAACTATTTCTCTGGCAAATTGTTGAATTGTACATTTTCCTCTAAAGCCACTAAAACTAATAAGATTCAAATTCTAACTTAACAAACTTAAGAGTTGAACGTTAAGATAAAATTATTGATCAATTCATTACTATATACATCCATAACTTCTTTTAACATATTAGTAAGTTGCCTTTCCCTTAACAAAAAATCTATTTTGAAAGCTATTCGGTACACCTTACCAAAATTGTTCAAACAACGGCTATCTTCGCCAAATAAACGAGACAAAATTTTTCTGAATATAAACCTAGTAGTAACTTACCGTTCGGCGAAATGTTTAGAGGCTGCGTGATGGTCGCTGGCGCCGGTGGCGCCGGCTCCATCTTCCAGGGCGCGCAGCACGAGGCAGGCGAAAACTCAGGCGTAGGGCCGCTGCCCGCAGATATCAACATGGTAGAGCCCCGTCCACAGCCTCTGAACTATTCGAGTTTAGCATGCGCGAACAGTCCACTCCGATACTGATACAGTTCACGTTAGCCGGTCCCCCTTTTTGCTATTAAATGCCAGCGTTGTACCGAACGACGGACGCCACTCGCCCAGCACGCGCTCCCTCGAAGCTCAGCCAGAACACTGAAGAGCGCGCTTGCTGTGCCGGCGCGCCCACTCGCGCGCCTACTCCCATTAACACGCCTCGGAAAAAATCAGCGCCGTTGGACAATAACAAAAACTACCTCCACCGTGTGGAACCTCCATGCACCTCTCACTCTAACGTTCTTAATTCGATTTCCGAACGCGTCAAAACTACAGCGGCGCTCGATTCATTTGCGGCCATCCGTCCTGTTCTTAAACTGCGCTGTGACATTTTAACTCGTATCGCTTTTATCATAAGAGCTACTTTGCTTTGTCATTCTTAAGTTTTATACCACGTTTTAGATTCGATTTGAGTTGGAACTACTCCTACTCACACTCGTTCGGTTCGGCTTAAGCTTGAACGGTATGAAAGGGACAGGTGCTCTATCGCTCGATGGTAGAATTACGGTAGTGAGCACAGGTGATCTTTTAGCATTTCTTTAAAACGGAGGTGTTAATGTATATCTTTCTCCTTCACACTAGTGAAACGTTATGGAACCTGTTAGCGACAAGGGTTGTAATGACTCGTTGCTCAATTAAACGCGATACTAGTTGCCCATGCTCAGCATTCTAATAGTTGGCGTAACGCTGCGTTCTATTCCAATTAACTCGAAGTAAAGATGTCATTTAAAAGTTCTATATACCGATTCCATTAGAACTCAGTCCTTTAAATGTTATTATTGATTTACCGCATGGGAACGAGCGGGTGTTTATTGAGCATGCTGATAGTATTCAGTCAGTACTAAAGGCATCGTGAACCCTTTTTCCCGTCACTAAAAAACGAAAGTAAAAAAGTCTAGGCGTCATGTGGCGCCTTTTATACGCAATCTGTTGCAGTAATCGCTAGGAATTAAATCTGAATTAGAGTCTAATTACGAATGGACTATTCTGGAAGGGCTCATACAAAACAATAATTGCGGTAGCGCTCGCGTCGCCTTTTTCTTGGTCGTACAATAGCGACGTTATCAGTACGGGTTTTTTTATTTATAATTACAGGGAAAAGGAATTGCCCGAAGGTCTCCACCGAAATGCAACTGCCGTGCGTGCTGGTAGCTTTTCAATCCAGTCTTTTGATCGTAAATACACTTTCTTTGTTGTGCCTCTTTAATTTGAAGCAATCTCGATCTTTGCGGTTTCCGCTTACTCATGTATACTGTAATGTTCTTTGTAGAGCATATGAGTAACATTTAAATACGTGATTCTTGAATATCTTTTAACATTGATTTGTCTGAATTATTAGTTTAATACAAAAAATAGGTGAAGGGTAAAACAGTTAAAATTAGTATAAATCTTTCATTGACTTAATTGGCGTAATATCCGTAATATGTGTAGTAAGTAGATAGAGCACGTCCCTATGTACTTAATCTGAACATGTTAATTGAAAACGGGTTAATTATTTTCATTTAGAAAATAAACCATTGTCAAAATGTACACATCTATAATTAATTGCATTAAAATAAAACATATAACCGATAAAAAATATCCGGTGTCGCCAAAAAAATTTAGGCATCCCGTTACGTTACTCACCGGGCGCAACCCAAATGTATAACATTCCTGTCAGTCAACCAGTTATGTCTGTTTTCCCAAAAATTCTTGTTATAATGACAAAACTTAATCGGAGCTGTGATAGCTTAGTATTCGGGGGCTCTCTTTTAATTCATTAAACACCAACGACCTCAAATACTGATGCTAGCACCAAATAGATAGTTAATTTCATTTTTGAGTTTCTGTGATAGATGACGCTTTATTAGTGAAAGCAATTACATCAGTTAATAAAGGAAAAAGAAGATCTATGAGTGCCGATTGAGGATATTCTTTCCTGAAAGGCCGGCAACGCATTTGCAAGCCCTCCTGTGAGCAAGGTTTTCGGGGGGTGACCCTACGGCCAGTTTGCCCCCTTTTTCCATAAACAAAAAGACCATGATGAATACGTGTCATCAGTGACCGATAAATTCGTGGCGAAACTGGCATATTTTCGAAATAATAGTAAAAAAATTACATGGTATTCAGCAGCGGAACATATTCAGGCTGGTATTTCACAACGTAACCTTACTTTAAAAAACAATCTATGTTCCAAATCTTTCATCAAGTTCTTATCATCGTTTGGGTGGAATCGGTACATTATGGTTCTAAAAAGCTATACCAGTGTCCATTGGCAGTGATTGAGTGATTGGCACTTAAATAGGACAAATGGAAAAAAGGTAAAATTAAAACTTTGTAAAGTTTTTATTCAATGTTTATTTTCAGCTAATTATGCTTTCAGCGCTTATTTTACTAATATTTAGAATATTGACAGACTGTTGAATTCGTTTGATTTTTTCTTTTAATTATTAGTCGCATATTCTTTACATGTTCCATTTTCTAAATGAACATCCAAAAAATGATTTTAATATTTCTATTTACTTTATAAGTGTTGTTGACTCTTATATATACAGCTACTTACACAATAAACAATTTTACCGATTATTATGAATAAAAATAGAATACAAGGTATGACATTATATCTTTCATCACCATTATATTTCCGGTTATACACTCTTTTCTCGATTTCTTATAAAAATGATCATTTTCTGTAAATTGATAGAAGGTCATAAAATGTATAGTTAAATTACATTTGTAAATCGGTGACAAAGTGGAAAATCTAGAAAATGTTACATGTGGGAAAATGAAATGAAAATTGTAATAATTATTATTATTTAAAATGTTTTAGTTCATCTTACTAATTGCATTAATCATTTTTTTTCTAGAAGCAACTTACTAAATCCCTACTCACGCGAATAGCGTTCTCATTACCAAACTAATAAAACAACAAAACATACATGACGTGGGCCACAAATGAACATCCAAACTATATGTAAGCAAATTTAAACCCAATTAAAAGATACTTTATCGGGCCCCGTCTAAATTACAACGGCCAAGTAGGCGAGATTCAAAGGGAGCGAGGGAGAAAAAGTCCACCGAGTATTATTTAATGATATCCGTAAGGTCGTTATTGGAGTGGATGATTCTTTTTTTACTCCAAGCGGCTTGTGTCGCAGCTTCCTTGGACAGGCCGACACGGCAGAATTTAGTGCCAAGATACGGCGTGGGTGTAACCTAATGAATATATTTATTTGTGATGGCGCGCTCGCCGACTTTTATCTGACACCAACGGGAGACAAGTCCCTATCTGGGAGCCGTAAGGTGCCTCCCTATTACTGAACACGTTCGAGTAGGTTTGCCCCTATCAATTTCTCCGCGCGATAACGCCGCGGTGTATTCTAAGTGGTTTCGTGGCGTTCTCAATACTCGAATTAGCGTTATCGTTTTATTTGTGAGCAAAGTTGTTGTAGCGGCCGTGAGTAGAGATTCGGAGAGTGCTATTAAATTATGGCGGCTAGGCCATCGATAACGCAGTGATTGATTATTACCAGGCGTTGGTAGCTACGACTTCATACACAGCGCGACAGCAAACGATTGTAGACAGCATTAAAACCATTAACCATCAATGTAAGTTGTTTTGTCTAGTATTCATTTATTTAGCTGAATTCTAAATATTCACCTTGAGCTGATAATAATTATCAAATTAACTTTGAACAGAAAAAAGTTACGTTACTTCAAAATTTTTTCAACAAAATCTGATATTCTCTCCTCCCAGTGTGTCAGTACAACAGTTACAATATACGTAACAATGTATATTATTACGTAGAGCAACAGCTCTACCTACTTTAAAAGATCATTCAAGTGTTAGAATACAATATCCAATCATAAGCGTATCCCTACACTATCACATAATGTACGATGAATGTGTCCGTTTCGTTCGTTAAATAGTTTTTCGCATTGCCTCCCACTTTAGCGCTGGTGCGGAACAAAAGATCGAGGTGTCACCCACTTATTGTTATACCAGAGAGGCCTCATCCACGAAAGGATTGCGATCGAGATTCAACACACAGTACGAACAGCACCGATAGCCAGAATAACTTGGTACTGCGCGGTAATAAATACAGGGTTCCCGATACAGATTGCGCCGCGTCTCAGCGCGCGCATACAAACTGCACAGATCATTTTAAGGTGGCGATATAATGCACGCGACAAAGAACATTCGTCGTGGTCGATGCGACAAAGCCTGGGCGACGGTACAGACATCATTTCCATTATAATGTGCTCGGAATATTCGTGCCGTCTATCGGGGGACCACCCAAGTGGTGACGTGACATACGATCTGACAGCTACCTGATAGAACAATGAACCTGGCCTATACGTACTCATGTGGCAGCCCTGCAGCCCGCAACGGTAGCTCCCTCACAAACTGACGTGAATTAAACTACCTGTTCGAGATAATTTTTTTTTTTTCACTGTATGTATCTCCTTTGTTACTTCTCTATATGTAATGGAAATAGGTAAGGGACACTGAAAAACAATAATTTTTTCTAAGAGTGATATTATTAAACAATAGATAACTGCATTTATTAGTGAAGGTAGGAAATAACCGTTGAAAATATGTATATATCCTCAATCCTTAATTTTGTTACAATTGACATATAAAGGTTGAAAAGTATAATTTCTTCCTTTAGAGTTCCTATGCTATTCACTAAGATAAAAAATTTAATCATTTAATTAAGGTGTAAACATTTATTCTCCATGGACTGAACAGAAGGAAAAGAGTTTATATGTGGTGATTTTATATTTTTTGCGGCATAATCTAAGCTGTCATAATTTACTTTAAACTTGAACTTATCGTTCATAGCTTCTATTCTATCTTTTTTGCATACAAGTAACATAAATAGCCTACGTAACATTTTATGCAGGCTGGAAACTTTCTAATCAACAAATTTATGTACAAACTGTACCTGTGCCTCCAACACTTTCCTTCCAATTATTTTTAATCCGTACCGTCCAATACAAAGATGGAGAGTATTGTCCCTATGAAATTCCATTGACATTCTCCAGGGCTGCCTGTTAAAGTATTGATACTTCGATCATACAGAAGAGCGATACAAATCCGCCATCGACGTTCCCAACTAAAGTGCACCAGTGTGTGGTTCAATCGGAGAGGAAGTGGTTTAGTCCTAT